GGTTTCACCATGTTGACCAGGATGGTCTCGATCTCTTGACCTCGTGATCCACCCGCCTCGGCCTCCCAAAGTGCTGGGATTACAGGCTTGAGCCACCGCGCCCGGCCAACTATGACTTTTTAATCTTCTTTTTGCAGTGATACATCCTATACATCTATTTGTTTATTGCAAAATGGGATTATGCTGTATCTGTTTTGTACAGTTTTTCTGTCATTTAAATAGATTTTCAAATATTATGTTTAATTTCTAAAGTATTCTCTGAATGATTTATATAATTGGTCTCCTATGTTGGACTCTTGTTTCCTTTTTATTATAGTGAATACTCCCTAACTTTAGTATTTCTTAAATATTCCTCACTATTAAGTATTTCTGGAACTGAGTGTGATACCTCATGCCTGTAATCCCAGTGACTGGGAGGCTGAGGTGGGAGGATCATTTGAGGTTGGGAGTTCAAGACAAGCCTGGACAACATAGCAAGAACCCCATCTCAAAAACAATTTTTTTTTTCTGATGGTAAATTCTAAGGTCATTTTTATTTCTATAAAAAAAGGCAGTCAAAACAATATAAAACACATTGAAAGGATATTACTGAGTGAGCTTCAAGTGGAGCTTGACTCTGCAAAGGCTTTGAGTCCAAAGGGAGAGGGAAGTCCATGTTGTTCCTGGGCTGGACCAGCTGCTCTGGAGGAAGGGGCCGGAAGGGACCCCGGCAACCCCGGACTGGTGCTTTAACTAGCTGAGTCCTCCCAATTCCAGTCTTGCAAAGGGTCATAGTGTGCCAAGGGAAGGCTGTGGCTGCTGCACAGAGGAAATGGAGAGTAAGCTCCGTGGCACATTCAGATGGAGCTCAGTTACAGATGAGCTGGGAATTTCAAATGGACATTCTGGCTGTAGCTTTGCTCGCAAGGACCAGCAGATCTTCTAAAATGGCTGCAGAGAGGAGTGCCAACCTGGGACCACAGGAGCCCTTCTGGCGAGATCCATCACACACAGTGTGCACAGCATCCTCCTGACTAGCAGGCCCCCCCTTTCAGGGCCACCACAGACCTGTGGTTATAGGGTTTCTCTGTGCAGGCCAGACCAGAGGTCAGGCACACACACTGACATTAGGGCTTGCCCAATTAACTGATGTTGCTGTGGTAACATCAGCTGGAGTTTCACACAAGAACCGGGGAGGAGGACTGAAGAGGGGTGTAGCTGTTTGCTTGTTTTTAGATTTTTAAAAAGGATATTATAAACTGGAATCAGAATTTAAACCAGCTCCCACCCTGGGCAGCAGTCCCACACATGTGAGAAAAAGCCACCAGGACCGCCAGGGCTGTCTCTTCTTTGTGAAGGAGGTGGAGCCTGGGTCTGGGGAAGTAAGTAAGTGAAAAATAAACTGCCAAAAAGTGGGAGTGGCAAGGGTAGGGAAGAAAGGGTACCACAACTTTTTTTTTTTACTTTTTTTTATAAACCTTATGGGCTAAATGTAACTTGAAGATTTTGGATAAAATTGGACAAGAAAAGAAACACCATTGTTTTGAAGTAGATTGAAGCAGTGATTTTTAAAACAAAGAGAGCAGAACTAGAACATCTTAAATTTTTAATCCTTTCTTTACAGGTTACCTAGACCACTTTTGATTAAGAAAACTGTAGAAAGTTAGTAACTGCCACAAGTGAACGCCAGGCGGTGGCACGTGTCAATTTCCACAGAGTCCTGCTTTGCGGGGTGTCTGAATGCACTGCACGGGGTCTCTGCTCACGCCTGCTGGAACCGATCGTGGCAGATTTTAGTCCACAGGTCACTTTCCCCCATATTTCTTTGTAAACTCTTCAGCATTCTTACAGAATTTTTTACGGTCCTTATTCTTCAGCTAGGTCAGCCCGAAGTGGGTGCTCGGGCTGGGGGTCATTCACCAGTGCTATGAGGGACTGGATTACTTGGTCGGTTTTGGTTTCTGGCTTCCAGTTTTCAGCACTAATTACTGGGAAACAGACCTGTCCCTTTTCATCGATGTTCGGGTGATAGATCTTTGTTTTAAATGTGATCTTCGGTGGTTTGAATGGGTACTCTGCTGGAAAGTTGATTTCGATTCTGAAGGCCCCCTTATCATACGGAGGGTTGTCAGGAACAATAAGCCCTTGCCAAGTCAATAAATTAGCTTCATCAACCTGGATGTTACGGAAGTTTTTCATTCCACATTTGCGGATTTCTTCAAGCTCCTTCATCAGCCTCCTGCTGGCCACCATCTTGGATTTGGTGGTGCTCCTCAAAAACAATTTTTTTAGAAAACAGCTGGGTGTGGTGACATGCACTTGTATTCAGGAGGCTGAGATGGGAGGATTGCTGGCACCCAGGAGTTCAAGGCTGCAGTGAGTCATGAACATGCCATTGTACTCCAGCCTAGGCAACAGAGCAAGACCTTGACTCTAAAAAAACTAATAATAAATAAATCTTTCTTTCTTTTTCTTTTCTTTTTTTTTAGTTTCCATGTCCTTTTTTAAATTTTTTATTTTACTTTAGGTTCTGGGATACATGTGCTGAACTTGCAGATTATTACATAGGTATACATGTGCCATAGAGTAAATATTTCTTTACATATTATTTTGTTTATAGTAGTTTCTTAAAAAAAAAAAAAAAAAAAGTAAAATCTATTGATCTTTCTTTAGGGTTCTACCTTTGTTGTCATGTTTAGGCAGCATGCAAAGAGTATGTAACTATTTGCCTATGTTTTAATCCCTTTTTGGTTTTTAAACATTAACAATTGTAATCTATCTGAAGTTTATTATAGTATATTGTATGACGTTTGAGTCCAATTTATAGAATTTTTTTGGAACCTGCAGTTTGTGTCAAGAACTTTGTCAGGAATTGAGGATCATATCACACATCTATTTATGACAAATAATGCTAAGTTTCTTTCTTTCTTTGTTTTCTTTTTCTTTTTTTTTTTTTGAGATGGAGTCTCACTCTGTCACCCAGGCTGAAGTGCAGTGGTGCGATCTTGGCTCACTGCAACCTCTACCTCCTAGGCCCAGCCAGTGCCAAGTTTCATGTAATAGGTTTAGCAGTTCCCAAAAATTATTGATAATTGACCAAAATTAGTGAACTAACTAGTAAGTGAATCTGGTTCACTTACTGTAGATATCAACATACCTCTAGCTTTATACTTTTTTTTTTTCCTGGCATAACTTACTCAGGAATATGTTACAGACAAATGTTATGTTTGGAAAGATTCTTTGTTTTATAGATATTAGGTTTGTTATGAAAGTGTACCTAGTACATTGTTGGCTTATAAATGTTAAAATAAATTACCTAAATTTTTACCAGTTTTACAAATACATTTGTTTTTTTTAGAATCTGTGTTTGTGGATATCCTCGACAACATGTAAGAAAATACAAAGGTATAAGTAGTAGGATACCAGTTTCTTCAGGATTCATGGTCCAAATGTTAACAGGGATTTATTTTGCCTTGTAAGTATCTTACCATATACAAAGCAAACCTTTAATTTCTTTGGAAAATTATAGTTTGTTAATCTATTGTCACTGTATTATAATGTCAATATATAAGTGATTTGCATACTTTTTGTGAACGAATATGAAGATCTTGATAATAGTTTTAATATTTTAAAACATATCTAAAATTTTTTTTATCTAAAAGATATGTTTAGTTTAAAACATACCTTTTAAACTTCTGAAGAATTTTTAACCAATTAAAACACTTTATCACCTTTCTTAAATTCAAGGACGAAATGAAAATTAGTAACACTTAAATACATTCATAGTCCCTTTCTTCACTACTTTTTTTTTGCTATAATTTCTAAATAGTTTTTTTTCCTCAATAAATCTTTTTTCCATTGCCAGAAACTTTAGCTCTTAAAAATCATTTCAGAGCCTCTTTGATTAGAAATAGTTTATATTAGCTTTCTATTAATTTCTAATATTGGTGCTAAGTTTCAGTCTTAGGTACTGGTATTTGTCTTTGAGCCCTACCTTTTACTTTATAATTCTCTTATTATACGTATCTCATTGTACTTTGCATTATATTCACTTAATACTTATAATTTTCTCTAGTAGAGTATAAACTTCCTGAAGGCAGAATTTATGGCCTCTGGGCCAAATCTGTCCTGATGCCTGTTTTTGTTAAGTTTTTTGCAATACAGTCATGTCTGTTTGTTTATGTATAGTCTATGACTGTTTTTCTGTTGCAATGACAGAATTGAATAGTTGTGGTAGAGACCGTATGGCCCACAAGCCTAAAATACTTGTTGTCTGGCTCTTTAAGAAAAAATTTTCTTAACCCTGTGTTAGACCATTAACATATCCCACAGATCTTGGATGCTCTGATCTACTTTATTCTTTTTCTTTGTGTTTCAGTTTGAGTAATTTCTGTTGGATGTATCTTCATGTTTACTGATTTTTTTCCTTGACTAGGTTAAGTCTAGAAATGAAACCACTGAAGACATTCTTCATCTCTGTTACTGTGTTTTATTTCTAACCATTTCATTAGACTCTTTCTTGTAGTTCCCATCTCTCTGCAGAAATCTCCATCTGTTCATGTATGTTGTCCATCTTTTCCACTAGACCCTTTAGTATATTAGTCATAGTTATTTTAATTTCCCAATTAACTTCAACATTTAGGTCATCTATGAATTTAGTTCTGTTGCTTGCTTTTTCTCTTGACAGGGTTGGTCTTGTTTGTTTTGCTTTTTATGTGCCTTGTAATTTTTGAGTGTTCATGATTGTGTTCAGAGGTAGGACAGTAGAGACGGAGGTAAATAATATTTATGACAGAAAATGGGCATGGCTCTTCTAGGCTGCTAGTAGAGTTATTGTAAGCAGAAGTGAGCTAGGATTGGGTTTGTTGTTACGGTTACCCTCAGGGCACCATCTACTTCAAATTCCTCTAGTGCTACCTGGTACTTAGGTGGAGAGCTGGATTGCTGGAAGGTTTTCCTTAGTATTCCTGCTTCATCTTTAGTTTTCTGCCTTCCTTATATGCCTTCACTGCAGGTAGATTTCTCTCCATGTTCCTGCCCCCTCCTCCAGTAGCAGAGTGCTATTGATTGGTTCTGGGTCTGCACTAGCCTGGTGGTGGTCCGGTTTGGGGGGAAGTGCGGGAGATAGTGTTCTCTGTTGTCCTGGTCCAGCCTCAGTTTTAGACTGATCCCATGTCCCTGGATCTCAGGGGTGGGAGTTTCTCAGTGGTCCTGCCCATTCTTCAGTGATGACACCTCTACTGATCTCAGCATAGAATGAGAGGTTTTTTTGCTTTTGTTTTTTCTTTTTCTTGCCGTCAGAGCCGAATTGATCTTCACTTGTGCCCTGGGGGTGAGAGGGTTTGCTGCTCTTTCTCCAAAGGCTTTAAAACCTTTGTTCCATATGATAAAGGCATAGGGCTGGGGTTGTACTTTTCTTACTGGAGTGGTCACTCTTTTCCTTCAGGCCTATACCATCAAGGGCAGTTTTCTCTGACCTGCCCTGTTTCTAGTTGTTCTTGTGAGTGCCTAAAGAAGGTTTATGGAGAAGAGCCTATGGTAGATACAAGCTCCCACTTGGTTGTGCTTTTAGAGATTCTGTATTCTCAAGCTAGCCCATGAGGTACGCATTCTGGCTTTTAGGAGTTTGTTAAGAAAGTTAGCTAAATGTTTCTTACCTACTTGTATTGTGGCCCATCTCTCCTTAGAGGCACCTGTCTCCCCTTAGGGTTCTGGCTACTTGGATGCCCTTGCCACCTTGGCTCTTTGATGGATTCATAAGAATTTATATATAATTTTGAATATTACTTGGCTTTATCTTGTTTTTATGGTGGGAGCAATGTTCTTGGCAGTTTTTAGTCCTCATTTGCACTCTTGATGTAATTTATACCTCTTTATTTTGTTGGCAGTTGACCAAGCCATTATGTCTCTGTTCATTTTTGTAATTTAGCTGATTTTTAGGAAGGGTTTGGCACAACTTTGAAAATTATGCACATACACACACACTAATATGCATACACACACACTGACATGTGCATACACACACATGCACACACGCTTTTTCCCTCATGTTGCTCTGCTATTTTGTAACATGTAGCAAATATACTTCTAAGTGACTGTCAAAATGCAAAGAAATAACTATTCAGTATACTGCAAGCCACATTACTTGTAGATTCTCATTAAAAACTGTGGGAGTTACAGAGTAATTTGACCATAAAATGTTCTGAACATTATTCTAAGGTATATAATTTATTATTCTCTGATTTGCTTTGAAAGTATAAAATGCTTTGAAATTACCTTAACTCTTTTTATTCCTGTTCTATAACTAGTCATGTTCTTTAGCGAAGAAATGTACATCTATAAAATTTTCTTCGCTATTAATAGGCATTTCGATGCAACTGAAAGGAATTCAAGGATTTAAAAATACATTTTTAAAAGGAATAGAATGTTAAGCAATGTGCTAATAGGATCTTTTATTTTCTTCAGTAAAGATAGTTTCTCATCGAATTTTGTTCAGTTATAAATAATTATAATTTCTTCATTTAATTCATCTAATTTTATAGTTATAATGGAGAATGGGATCTAGCTCAAAAAGCACTGGATGATATTATATACAGAGCCCAGCTAGAATTATATCCAGAGCCATTGCTGGTAGGTGCCTATTTATGTAAATTTTATAATTTAAGATTTCTCAATTTAGAACTATAAATTGAGAGAGAGCCATTCATAGTTCATTATTATATCATTAATACTCAGTGTATTTATGCTTTTGTTATACATGGAAGTTTTGTACCTTAGAAAAGTAACAAATAAAAATTTTTATTAGACTTATTTCCTAGACACCTGACAGTCTTTTTAACTTACAAGAATTGTTCTCCTTAATATACTTTAGCTGCATTTATTAACATTAGGCCTTTGGAAATCTAATTGAATGTTTTGAAATTTTTGACTTTATCATTTACATATTTTTTAACCATGAATTTCCCTTTGAGCTCCTATTCTTATCTTAGAGGATTTATAGATGATCTTATAAAGTACTTGGGGAGAGCATCCTTGTACAAACCCATTAACAGTTAGTGTCATGTTTTATCTAAGGGTAAGATAATACATCTGCTAATGTTGATCTCAAACTATATTTTTTCTTCTTAGGTTGCTAATGCAATAAAGGCTTCATTGCCTCATGGTCCCATGAAATCTAACAAGGAAGGTACAAGGTGTATTCAAGTTGAAATCACACCAACTTCCTCTAGAATATCAAGAAATGCAGTAACCAGCATGTCAATAAGGGGTCATAGGTGGAAAAGACACGGTAAGAAATATGTAACTCTTCAAGTTAGAGCATTGTTGATTCTCTTACATTTTTCACTGTACTTATGGTGCTGTAACATCTAACTTTAGTAAATAGTAGTCTGGAAGAAAGAGCTGTGGAGTTGCCCTTAACTCCTAATATATTATCCAGGAGCAACAGGCAATAAGAAAAATAAAGCCCCTTATGTTACACATATGAATGAAAATTTATTTTAAAATTCATTTTTAAGTTGTTTTTCAGTAGGAGAATAAGGAAAATGCATTTTAAAATTATTCATAGATTTTTGGTTTGTATTCAAAAGTATTTGCAAATGTTCCTTACTTAATGTTTCTGATTTCTCAATTACCTCTTAAGCAAGTAAATTTACATAATGAAGTAGAACAACTAACAGGAACTTTAAACATTTTGTCTGGACTTCTTGGTAAAGAATGCCATAGTATTGATGCAACACTAGTTATTTTTATTTTCTGGAAGTTAATTTTCTTTCAAGATTCTGTGTGTGTGTGTGTGTGTGTGTGTGTGTGTGTGTGTGTGTGTATCCCTTTTTGTCTGCTTCGTTTTAGTATTTTAAAATTTTAATGGAGGTCAATTTCATTCACTATGGCTTTTTCAATACTTTCCCATTTCCCTCCCTTCTCTTTTAATTTATTATTCTTTATTTAATTTCTTTTTTTGGGGATCTTTGTTTAATTTCATATTCTTTTTATAACTTCCCTCCTATCTAGAAGCTATTGTAGTGTCAACAACCAGTCTAAGAAGGGAATTACTGTCACCTTCCTCAGAAGGTAACCATCGTGGGAAGCAAAAAGCCACTTCTTTACCGCAAGCAAACATGTATATTAGAGATAAAACAAAATCCATTCTCTGTTTTCTTCTTTCTGTAAACTGAGATGAAAATAGTAGTTCCTTCTGGTATATTTAGTTCCGGTTGTGTTGTGGTTTCTATAGAGAAAATGGGAAAGGTGAAGAATGGAGCTATTTATGGTAAACTAGAAAGTTGATGATAAGAACAGTTGCCATAGTTTTCACTCAGAGAATCTAGGGGATTGTATGTCAAAAAAGAATAATGATTATCCATCTTACCTAGTGATCATTTTTGGTCTTTTTATTTTTAAAGTGTGACAATTCTTGAAAGTTCCATAGGAAGGCATAAAAGAGGTGGTGATGTTTGCCAATAGCAAGGCAAATTATGCTACCATTTAAAGCATACAGTCTAAACATACTTCAGCTTCTTCAGTGAAGATTATGCTACTGAATGGGGCTAGATTACAGGTAGAAAGTAATTTAATTAGATATGATTTACCCTGAGATTGTTTTTTCTGTTTTGGCATTAATGTGTGAAAACGGGCAGAGGCAATGAAGCAGATCATAGTGATCACTGTGGCCGTAACTGCTCCCAAACTCTGCTACAGGAAGCACAAGAATGAATTTTAATTTCTTTTCCACTTTCCTTCTTGCTATTTAGGTAGACATACTGGGAATTAATGGGGGGAAATGTAGGTCCTGCAGTTAAAAATGTGAAATATTGATGCTCCCTTGTACTTGTGCATGTTTGTGTGAGAGACAGTATGTGTGCAGGTCCAGTCGTGCATGCAAACAAGGAGATCTGTGCCCTGCAATAAGATGGAAGCTATTTCCTAGAAATATTTTATAGGAAAAAATTACAAAACAAGAGAAAATACTACTTGAATGTATTGTATCTAGGAGATTCTTAGGTATCTTCTAGATTCCATTTTGGCTGCCACTTGAGGGGTTACCACTCTGTCTTAGGATTGTACCCTCATTAAAGCAGCATTCTTATTACCTGTCCCCCTTCACGATTCTAATACTTGGGAAACTCCTGCTTATTATAACAATAAAGTCACAGATGAGAATATAGAAGAGAATCAACTATAAAAAGCAAGCCCCATGCATGGAATAGATGCAGAATACAGCTTAGTTTTGTTCATCGCTCTTCTTTAGTGTGAATTCTCTTTATCCAGTGGGCTCTAAAATACTCCTGTCTAAGGCCCTTCTTATTTGCCTCTACAGGTAGGTTGCATTTTCCCTTTTTAGGGTAGTCTTGGCTTTCCCTTCTAGAGCAGTATTTAAAGTTACTATGTTTGGCTGAATTTAAAAGGTTTTTATTTTCCAGCCTCATGGTCCTGCTTCCTACTTGAACACATTATCTTTCTGGACTTTCTAACAGGCACTGGCTTCCTGTGGGGAAAGTAGATATCTTTGCTGTAGTTCTTAGACATAGAGACAATTCTCAAATTATAAATAGATTTTTAAATTTAATTTTGCTTATATATAAATTACGTTTTTAATATTTATGTATAAATCTTAACAAAGTATGTTTATACATTTCTTTAGAAACAATTTTAAAGGGCTTATAGGTTCCAGGGTGAGCCACAACAACCTTTTTATCTCATAATGTTTCTGAAACATAGGACTATAGAATAAGTTCAGTTTATAGCTATGTGAAAATACATTTAGAGTTTCTATATTTAGTGGAACTCTAAATGTGTTTCCCATTCCACCCACTCATATCCCTACTGTTCCCTCACCACACCAACTCTTGCAGTAGGAAGAATTTCTTCCCAAACCCTCAACTGTATCTATCATGCAGTACAAACAAGGAATATCCCACCCTAAGCCAGTGGTGATGTGGGTTGGGAAAGGAGAAGGGACAAGAACCATGAACTTTAAGAAATATTATTTTTTGGGCTGGGTATGGTGGCTCACGTCTATGATCCCAGCACTTTGGGAGGCCAAGGTGGGCAGATCACCTGTGGTCAGGAGTTTGAGACCCAGCCTGGCCAACATGGCAAAATCCCATCTCTACTAAAATACAAAAAGCCGGGCATGGTGGCGGGCGCCTGTAGTCCCAGCTACTCAGGAGGCTGAGGCAGGAGAATCGCTTGAACCCAGTAGGGGGAGGTTGTAGTGAGCCAAGATCACACCATTGTACTCCAGCCTGGGCAACAAGAACAAAACTGTGTGAAAACATATATAAAAATATACATATTAAAATATATGTGTATATATAAATATATTAACATATATTTATATATAATATATAGATGTATATTTTTATATTATAATATATATGTATATTTTAATAATATACATAATATAAAATATACATAAATATAAAAAATATATTTAAAAATATATATTAAAAAATGTGCGTGTATGTCTGTGTATATATATATATTTTTTTCTTTCTTTCCCCTTTCCTCTTTGTTTTCCTAGTTTTTGGAAAGAAGAAAGCAATTGGCCTTTTTTTTCTTATACTTATTTGTCTTTATTATTATGTTTCTTCTAATTTCTTCTCTTTCTATCTTTTCTGGGTAGAAGAGAGAAAGGAGTGAATGAGGTTTTCTTATGGAAGCAGCCAAGTAGAACTTTACTTTTTGCTTTTTTTTTTTTTTCCTCCATCTCCGTTTACCATGAAAGAATATACATAATTAAGCCATGTGAATGTACTGGTGTGTTTGTATATCTGATCACCAAAAATTATTACACAGCCAACAAATATATTAAATTAGAACAATTAGTGGACATTTATTCTCTTTTGTTATTGGTAACCAAAGAATCTTTGAATTATCTTTACAACCCAATCTCTTACTGTATTTTTAAAATTAATTTTGAAAAGTTTTAATTATTTACATTTTAAAATATTTTAAAGCTATTCTAGAATGTATTTTAGGATTTTCTAACACTTCATAGATCTCTCATTTTTTTCTTAAGGTTAGGAATTATTTACAATTTATATTTTAATAGAAAGTATTATAATGGAAATTTTAAAATTACGTTACACTTAACATTTCTATGCATTTCAGAATACGAATCCCTGGCCATGGTTTTATTGTTGCTGGCTATCAACCCAAGTTTCTAGAGTTGTATTTTGACCAGTTCTATTATTTGTTTGTCTGTTTTTTTTGTTTGTTTTTTTTTTTAAAGTAAACTTTGTTTTTTAAGAACGGGTTTAGGTTAATAGCAAAATTGAGTGGAAAGTAAGAGAGTTCTTAAATACCTCATGACCCCACATGCATGGCCTCTCCCCGTACATCAACATCCCATACCAGAGCGTTACATTTGTAAGGCCCTGTAATTTAAATTTTGACCAGACAGTGCATCCTCATGTCAACTAAATAGGATGATTTTTAAAGAAAGGTTGGTTTCAACTGAGGTATTATTTTGGAGAGATCTGTTTGACAACTAATGGTGTGTTTGCTTCAGTTGCCCCACTTTTTAGTTTAAGTTAAATGATTGTACAGACATGGCTTAATATGTTTTTCAAATTTTTTTTAACTTTGTGTTGAAATCTTTGAGACAGTTCTAAAGACTTTATGATTTTATGTTTGGGAAATAAAATTATAATGTAGAATTTCTGTTTTTGATTTTTAAGGATCATCATTTCAGAATTAAAAGCTTTACGTGTTGCTTATTCTTTTATGCATATTGTGTTTAATTTAGTCTATAGATGGTGACTGTTTTAAGGCAAAGGTGTATTTCTCAGATATAGATTTTTCAAGCCACTTACAAATTGAAGACTATCTAGAAGTCATAATTTGAAAGTAAAACACATCTGGAGAAAGATAATAATAAAATAAACTCTAAAAATCATTTCAATAAGTTTAGAGAAGACTGAATAGATTATGACCATAATAAAAATCAAAATGAAAAGTCCAGTAAGAAAAATGAGATAAAATTTAGTAAAATAATTCATGAATTTTTCAAATTAGTAACTAAAATTTTACTTAAATATTTTACTTAAATATTTATTTCCTTTTAAAAATAAAAGAAGTTAAAAGGAAAACAAAGTATTTGTTTATAATTATGCTTTAATTCTGTAGTCATTCTTAAATGTCATTTCCAAATATAACTTTATCATCTACCATTTTGGCTATTTTAAAAAGCCCTTTTCTTAAGTCCCTGAAAAGTTCTCTACCACTCCAATATTCGAGTATACAATTTATACTTATTTATTTCCTTGTGTTTTTCCATTCCTT